GAGCAGGTGGGGAGTGAGGGGCACCAGCTGGACAGGGGGGGCAGGGGCTGTGGGTCAGGAGTGAGGGGCACAAGGGAGAAGGGGGCTGCAGGTCTGGAGTGAGAAGCACCGGTCAGGTGGCAGGGGTTGGACTTCGTGCCCCATGGGGCAATAAGGAAGCTGTGGGGGAATCCCCAGGGGGCAGTTCAGGACAGGGTGGGGGAGTGGGGTGTCATTGCCTCCTGGCTCAAGGCTTTCAGGGCCCCTGGGCAGAGAACCCAGGCATCCGGGTCCATCTCCTCCCCCTCCCCGTCCCCCAGGGCAGCCGTGCCAGCATGACCCGTCCTTCCGGGGCCCCATCCAGAAACGGTGAGTGTCTGTCCCCCCCCACACAATCCCCAACCACACCCAGGCCCTGGCCCCTGCCCCCTGCCCCATCTGACCACCTGTTGCCCCCAGGAGCTGCACCGATATCATCTGCTGTGTCCTCTTCCTTGTCTTCATCGCTGGCTACATGGTCGTGGGCATCCTCGGTGAGGGGGGGCGGGCAGTCGGGACCTCCCGGGGCCACGGAGGGCAGCAGGGGGCACAGGCCAGGTCAAGGGCTCCACCCAGATGCCTGGGTCCCATGCCCAGCTGGATGGTGCCCCCAAGCTGGACCCCATTGCGGGGCAAGGGGAATCTGGGGGCAGTTGCCCTGACCTCTGTTGCCCCCCCCCCGCCCTCCCAGCCTGGCTCTACGGGGACCCCCGGCAGGTGGTCTACCCCCGCAACTCCACCGGTGCCTACTGCGGCATCGGGGGCAACCGGTGAGTACCCCCCTGTGTCCCCTTGTTACTCCGGTGGGGGGGGCTCTGCTCTCTTCTCCCCGTCCTCTATCTCCTGCATCTCCCTGCTCCGTGCTGCTCTGCCTGCGGGGGACTCAGGAGTCTGGGAGGCCTGTCAGAGGTGGCCTGGGGGGTCCTGGTGCCTCTCTCTGCTACCACTTATGCCTTGTTTCTGTCTCTTCCTACCCTGCCCCCTGCCCCCCCCACCAGGGACAAGCCCTTTGTGCTGTACTTCGACCTGCTGCAGTGCGTCCCCTCCATTGGGGCCTTGGCAGCTGCCCTGGATGGGCTGCAGTGCCTCACACCCCAGGTACCCCCCCCCCCCCCAAGCCCCTGGGAGACAGGAGGCTGGGAGCCCAGATGCCTGGGTTCCCTATGGTGGGGGGAGCCTGGACACCTGGGTCCTCCCTGCTCTCCTGTGCCCCTCAGGTCTGCGTCTCCTCCTGTCCCGAGACGTTCTGGACAGTGCCGGTCACTGCATTCACGTCACCAGGGCAGAGACCCAACCAGGTCTGGACTGCAGAGCTCGAGCGACTGTGTCAGCCCGGCCTCAACCTCACGGACACCCACCTGGTACAGCCCACCCCCGCCGGTGCCCCTCACTTCTGACCTGCAGCCCCTTGCTCCCACCTAGCTTTGCTGGTGCCCCTCATTCCTGACCCGTAAGCTCTGCCTGCCACCGAGCCCTGCCGGTGCCCCTCACTCCTGACCGGCAGCCCCCTGCCTCCAGTATGACCAGGTTTCTCTCCCTCAGACAGCAGCACAGATTATCAGGCGGGACCTGTGCCCTCGATACACCATCCCGAGCAAACCCAGTAAGCCTGGATGCCTGGGTTTTCTGTGGGGGTCGCGGAGGGTAGGAGTCCGGGTGCCTGGGTTTTCTGGGGCACAGGGTGGGGCTGGGCATCAGGGTCTAGCCCCCCTTTCTTCCCTCTCCAGTCTTGAACCGCTGCTTCCCCTGGTTCGAGCTTCAGCCTGGATGGACTCAGCCCCAACGGTACCCAGGAGGCCCTCGCTGCTGGCGTCCGGTCAGTGTGGGGGCCCTCACTCCTGACCCGCAGATCCCTGCCCGGCTGGTGCCCCTCACTCCTGACCCGCAGCCCCTGCCTCCCCCTGGCTCTGCCGGTACCCCTCACTCCCCCCTCCCCCCTGCAGGCAGATTATGACGTCCCTCGACGCCAGGGACATCAGTGTGAAGATCTTCGAGGATTTTGCCCAGAGCTGGTACTGGATCCTCATGTGAGTGACTCACGGGACCCAGGTGTCCAGGCTGGGATTCAAGTGGGGCAGGGACACAGGTGTCCAGGTTTGGCCCAGGGCGTGCAGGCCCCAGGAGTCCTGGATGGGGGCTGGGACACAGGACCCAGGCGTCTGACACCAGGGACAGTGGGACCCAGGTGTCTGGGGCTGGGCCAAGCATGGGACCTAGGCGTCTGGGCGGTGCTGATCCCTGCCCCCCACAGCGGGCTGGTGATAGCCATGGCGCTGAGCCTGCTCTTCCTGCTGCTGCTGCGATTCGTGGCTGGCATCCTGGTCTGGCTGCTCATCATTGGCGTCCTCGGCCTCGGCGCCTATGGTACTGGGGGAGGGGTCTGTGAGCTGTGGGGTGGGGCCTTTGAGCCAGGAGGAGTGGGGCTAGGAATGGGCGGGGCCTGTGAGCCAGGAGCGGGTGGAGCCATGTAGAGGCAGGGCTGGGAGACAAAAGCGGGTGGGGCTTGCCAGGGCTAGTACCAGCTGGAGGGCGGGGCATGAGAGCCAGAAGGGGCAGGGCCTGGGAAACGTAGGGCCTGGGGGCAGGGCCTGGCAAGGAGTGGGGCTTGGTGGAGGCCAGGTGGTAGAAGGGGGCGGGGACTCCACTAGGAGGGGCAGAGCCTGGTGCCTTGTGGGGGCAGGGTTTGCACTCCAAAGGGGGTGGGGATAGGGGAATGGGTGGGGCCTCCTAAAATGGGGGTGGGGCCAGGGGCAGAGCTTATCCCTGCCTGGCTTTTGGCCCAAGGAAGATGGGAGCCTGGGGGTTGTGGGGGCGGGGACAGGGGAGGGAGGTGGAGCTTGTGGGGACCCAAGCCCCTCCCCCTTTCTCACCTAGGTATCTACCACTGCTGGCGGGAGTACAGCACCCTGCGCGCAGCCGGTGCCTCCATCACCTCCGTGGGCTTCAGCACTGACCTCAGTGTCTACGGAAGTGTCAAGGAGACATGGCTGGCTGCCTGTGAGTGCGGGGGCCAGGCCCGGCCTGCAGCCACATCCCTGGACGACGCTAAGCCCCACAGGGGCCTCAGACTCCCCAGACACCCCCAAATCTTGGCGGGGTACCAGGGCGCTGTGGGCACATCCCAAGCACCCCTCAAATCCCAAAGGTTTCCATCTTTCAGGCAGGTCCCTGGACACCCAAAAACCCCTGGGAGGAGTTCAGGTCCCTAGATACCTTGAAATCCCATGAGCAGATCCCTGGACACCCCCAAATCCCAGAAGGGCTGCCATATAGCCAGAGCTCTGGACACCCCAAATTCTGGGGGAGTTTCCTGGGTTACAGGCAGACTTCTGGACATCCCAAATCTGAAGCTCCCCCAAATCTTGGGGTGCCCCCAGCTGCCCCCTTTGTCTTGGCAGGGGTCCTCCTTGCCCCTCCCAGGATGCATTGAGGCCCCTCCCCACACCCCTCTCTGCTTAGATGGGTGGAGCCAGGGGGAGGGGATGCGGCCTGGGACAGAGGTGTAAGGTCTTGTGGGGGGAGCTTGCTTGCATTTCAGTGAGGATCAAAGGTCACCAGGTGCGGCTTTGCAGGAAAACCCATAGCATTTTAGTGAGGGTCAAAGGTCAGCAGGTTGGTTCTGGGGGTGGGGCCTTGTGGTACCTGCTGCATGTTAATGAGGATGAAAGGTCAGCAGTGGGCAGGGTCCCCCCAAGCCCCGCCTCCTGCCCCCACAGTGATCGTGCTGGGCGTGGTGGAGGGCATCCTGCTCCTCCTCCTCATCTTCCTTCGCACCCGCATCCGCATCGCCATCGCCCTGCTGCAGGAGGCCAGCCGGTGAGCCAATCAGGGCCTGAGGGGGGCAGGGCCTGAGGGAGGGGGTGACCTGGCAACCAGAGCCTGGGGACGTGGCCTTCAATGGGCGAGGCCTAAGAGAGCTGGCAGGGCTGAGAAAGGTGGGCAGGTTCTGGGACATGTGGAAGGGGGCCCGGTGGAGGGGGTGGGGCTTGGCATGGCGGGTGTGGGCAGAGGGAGGGCATGGCCTTGGAGGAATGGGTGGGGTCTGGGGTGGGTGGTGAAGAGCTGTGGGAAGGGGGT